CGCCGAGGGGGCCGAGGGCGCCGACGCCTAGGGGGCCGGCATCGCTGAGGGCGCCGAGGGGGCCGTGAGGGCCGCGGGCGCCAACGTCGGGGGCGCCGGTGCCACGGCCGTAGGAGGCGCCACATGCGGGGGGCGCGCCTCAAAGCTAGGGGGCGGGCCAAGAGAGGCGCGCGAGCGCCCTGGGAGAGGCGTCAAGGAGCCCGTGTCACCGGTGGCGGGAGGAACAGCCGGGGGTACCTGGTGAAACAGAAACACATGCTCATCAAAGTAAACGTGCCGGGAAGTGAACACACGGTGGGAGACGGGATCGTAGCACCGATATCCCTTAGAGTTGGAGGGGTTGCCGATGAAAATGCAAGCGACAGAATAAGGTGCGAGTTTGTGAGGAGCGGTGTCGACAGTGCTAGGATAGCAAATGCACCCGAAAATACGCAAGCCATCATAAGAAGGGGGCGTACCGAAGAGAAGATGGTGAGGTGCATAGTTCCACTGTGGACGGCAAGGGCGAAGGTTAAGGAGAAGAGAAGCAGTGGCGAGTGCGTTCAGCCAGAAACGAGGCGACACATTAGCATGGAGCAGGAGCGTGCGAACGCAGTCGTTCTGAGTGCGAAGGACACGTTCGGCTCGACCATTCTGCCGGGAAGTATACGGACATGTGAGACGAAAAACCGCGCCGTGGTGCGACAGAAAAGTGTGGAAATCAAGGTTGTCAAACTCTTTTTTATTGTCAGTCTAAAGAGCAAGGATGGGACGCCCAAACTGCGTGCTGACATAGGAGTAAAAAGCCGTCAAAGTGGGGAGTGCATCCGACTTTCTACATAAAGGAAAAGTCCACACAACACATAATGAGAATAATCATCAAGGATAACCAGATAATATAAATAGACCGAATTACTAGGAACCGGAGAGGTTCACACATCGCTATGAATCAACTGAAAAGGAAAAGAGGCTATGGTGGTGGAGTCGTTAAACGGGAGGCGAACATATTTGCCGACACGACATGCATGATAGGTGTGATCCTCTATCTTATGACAACTGAAGCTGAAACTCCTAAGAATATGATGAAGTGTGACGGAGTTGGGATGACCCAAACGAGCATGCCAGAGATCGACGCCGGCGGAGAGAGCAACCGGTGCGGTGGTGGAGGTGGACGGTGAATGCACCGGATAGAGCTCGTTGAGGCTGTCACATCGGTGAAGTACCATCCTGGTTCGAGCGTCCTTGACACAAAATCCAAGCTCGTCAAATTTAACAGTAACAGGATTTTCACGAGTTAAACGACGAACGAAAACAAGGTTCTTAATAAGATGAGGTGACACATGTATGTTAGACAAAGTAATAGGCATGGAAGTAGAAGGAAAAGAAGTGTGCCCGACATGTGTGATAGGGAGTGTGGAACCGTCGCCGACAATGATGCCGCGGTCGGTGGTGACGGGGGTGAAAGAGGCAAGATTACCAAGATGAGCAAACATGTGAGCCGTAGCTCCGATGTCCATGTACCAATCATCACCTCCGGTGTAGTTGTTCGGCGTAGGAGCGACATGCACCCCGGTGAGGAGCACTGGGTCCCAGGGCGCCGGCGGCAGGGCTGGCGAGGGGGACGAAGACGCTATGAGGAGGCCATAGCCGCCGCTCAGCTGCGGCGATGGGTACTCTTCATACAGCTGCAGAGCCGCGAAGTACGCATGATGCGCGGGAGGGGCAGGAGCCTGCTGGCCTGCGGATAATCCCCACTAGTACCCGGGAGACTCATACGCAGGCAAAACCCCGTACGCAGGAGAAGACTTGTACATGGATGCGGACGGAGCTCCGTATGCCCCGTACGTAGGATACCCGTACGTGGGAACGGGCACGTCGTAGGTGGCGGCCGCCCTGTGCGACGGCGGGGCCGCGCCATAGGGCGCCGGCGGCGGGACAGGAGAGACGGTGGTGGAGGGGCCTGCGGATGCCATCGCTGGTCCAATGGCGGCAGTCGGCGTGGTTGGGCGGCAGCGGACGCCGAGTACTTTTGGCGACGAACGATGATGACGAACGAAGCAAAACGCTGGATTCCGATCAACCCCGCGGTGCAAAGCCAGCCTCAATTAGCTGATCGATCTTCCCTTGGACATGTACTTCCGGCTGCAACAAACGGGATACACGCACGTAGGATCGTTGCCTTGATCGATTCCAGCACCAGTAGATACTCATGACCACGTGATTGTTTGATGGCCGCACGCGAGCGATGCTGGCGAGCGGATTGGGTGAGGCAGCGATTGGGCGGGTAACACGGAAGACTGCCGAGTGGATTAGGCGAGGCTAGCGGCGCTGGGTAGCGCGCGCGGCTGAGGAGTTGGGCGGGGTGTGCGGCGCAGCTGGGTAGCGCGCTGCTGAGACAAGCGGCGGCCGGCGCGGAAGACACGCGGGCGGCGGCGGCGGCGCAGGGGAGGTGCGCGGCGGTGGTGGCGGCAACAGAAGGCTAGGGTTAGAAGCTAAAAACTGATACCACGTATGTTGTTGGAATTGCACAATGCATTGCTCATGTGCAAAGACACGTATATATGATGTACAAGAGGTGGGCCACAACCTCAACTATACAAGGAACTAGGAGGTGGGCCCAATACACAGATATGCACAGCACATATACTCAACATTTATAACACGTAGCTGTCTAAAGATTGTTTTTGCATTGGATCTGGTCCCTTCATTCAAATTTCAAGGGATGTGATTTGCTCGAGGGCCATCTGCCATTTCCGTGGGAGGTGCAGTCCGTGCTGCAGCTTTTGGCTCGTCCTTGGTCTACACGTGTCACCCCTACATTGGCTCACTGCATCCACCCTCGCAAGAAATCTCTCACCAGCTACTCGCCTACTTTCTCCCTAGAACAAGTAGTCTGGGTGGACCAGGTCTTTGTCCAAGCAACTGAATGGGCGAGGAGCCACTAGTCACTGCAGAATGCTGTCTCCGGTGCACCAACACCGGGCTCATCCAGTGCACCACGCCGTTGGTAGCGTCCCCAAATTTCACGAGGCAAACCAAAGCGGCAGGCTGAAATTGGAAGCCCCCAAACCCCTCCCTACCGCGGCGTAGGGTTTCTCCATCTCGTCGCCGCCTCCGGGAAGCTTCAACCCCGCCGGGGCTGGGCCATGGAGGCGCCGTTTGTCTACCTCCGCCCCACCGTCGAGGACGACGGCACCGGTACGCCCAGCCTTCGCTTCCCGACCCTCTTGATTGCTCCCAAGTTCGTTCCCCTCTCTTTGAGTTCTGACCCCTGGCTGTGTTTTCTAACGGTGATCGCACGCGCGCTTGTGCAGGTGAGCGGGTTCTCCTGAAGGCGGCCCTCGGCGGCAACCTCGGCCGCCTCAAATGTACTATTCCACTCTAATCTGCTTAAAAACTCCCTAGGGCGTGTTTGGTTGCCCGCACCGAGCCCAACCAGGCCCGCGCGGGAAGGGAGAGGTGTTGGGGATATGATTACTGGAGGTAAACCGGCTAGGAGTGGCCGAGTTAGCTCCATGAAGATAGAAGCCCATGAAGACGTAAAGATGGTGGCGCTTTACGAAGGCCCAAGGCCCAAAGGCGGGTTAAAGCCTGTAGATGTAAACCGACCCTGTCATGTAACTTGTATTGTAAGTTAGATGAATAGAGACCGAGCTGGACACATCTATGATCCGGCCTCGGGACTCTGTAAACTGGCGGGCGTCAACCTATGTATATAAAGGGACGACCCGACCGCGGTTTGAGGACAACATACAACAACTCGAGAGCCAGGCAAAGCGGATTCGCTCCCTGGTCATCGAAACCCTAGCAATACCAATCACAACTAGACGTAGGCTTTTACCTTCATCGAAGGGCCCGAACTAGTATAAAACCCATCGTGTCCCCTTGTCCGGTTTAACCCCTTTAAGCTAACCCGTAGCGATGGCTCCACGACTAAGTCCTTTCACGAGGACATCTGTCGTGACAAACCCACGACAGTTGGCGCCCACCGTGGGGCTATCGCACGATGGTTTCGAGTTCTTGAAGGGCAGCTTTGATGGACTCAAGGGGTACGCTGTGGGCCGGATGACGAAGAGTCGTCGCGGCAAGCTCTACATCGACGACGCAGGATGGGGTCCCGAGGCCGGTTCAATCGAATACGGGTACCGGGTCCCCTTTGGTGGGATTCACGTCTTCATCGGCAAGATCGGCGAACCGGGCCCTGAGCCGGATACCTGCACCAACATCATCGAGATGGCTCAACGTGCGAGCCCTTGCCCGGTTCAGCCCGCAGCAAGGCATGTTTTCGTAGGTGTCATCCATGGAGCGGAATATGAGGATGGACCGACATCTGATGGAGAAACCGTTGTCTTCTCTGACGACAAGTCTTCAACTGGAGAGACCGAATCGCTGTATCAGTTGCAGGACGGCTGGATTAGCGGAGGTTCCGATGGCAACAGTATTCCGGACCTCCTCGATCTGCCAAACCGGGTCGCTATCTTCATGGCCGGTACACAATCAGCACACCACTCATCAACCGCCGCGGCAATGCTCTCCGGTTCAGCGACAGCAACGCCGGCGGGAGCAGGGGGCTCTGCGCCGCCTCCGGCTCAAGTTCTGTCTGATTTATTTGACACTTTGGCAACATTGATGGCCGCGGAGGTGGACACAGCAGCCCGGGACCAGCACAATGCGGAGATTGCAAAGGTGAAATATCAGATAACTCAGGCTAAAGCGGACCTAGCAGCAGAGAACGTTAGGATGGCTACGGAACGGGCCGAGTTGGAAGCTCAGGCCTACCGACTTAGGCTGGATCAGAATGCCTCAGAGGAAGTCATGAGAAGAAGATACCGGTCGCATCTCCCGCCGGGTTATGAGCCAAGAAATCTCTTCAATACGCCAGGAGCAGGGACTAGTAACCAGCCAGTGTTAAACCGGACGGAGGCGCTGGGAACAGGAGCGCCGGTTTAGCCGCGCACGATGGACCCGCCTCGTCAAAGCAACATTGTGCCGCAGCATGTTCCGACGCCCCCGGGGCATTACTCCAATCCGTTGGACAACATTGTGGCCGCCGCTTCACGATTGGCAGCCCTTCCAACCGACGGCGAGTCACCAGTTGCGATTGAGGCACGACGGGCCAGAGAGCTCCTTCAAACAGCTTTAAACCAGCAGTAGGCTTATTCGCATAGTCGCGAGAGGATTCATTCCACCCCCCGCCCGAGCCGGAGCTACAACAGGCACGTTGAGGATGAACCGGCCGTGTCAAGCAGTGCACGTCGCCGTAACTCGCCGCGAGGGCACAACCCGGCAGGTGGAGGTGCTAATGCGCAGGATGTGGTGGATCATGGTCGTGCACGTCGAGAGGCTGAGTTAGTAGCTCTGCATGGAGCTCGTCAACCTACTCCGGTTCACCCTACCGCTTTAGTGGAGCCAGGTGTGGTCTTCAGTTCCTTAGGGGTGCCGTGTCTCACCCCCGCTTTACGTAATGTGCGACTGCCCAAGTATTTTAAAGGCCCTCGTAAGGTGCCCAATTACACCGCCGATTTGCAAGCGGAGTCATAGGTTGAAAGTTATGAGATAGCAATGGAGATGTTAGATGTGGATGAAGCGGTGCGTGCTAAATACTTCACCATGATGTTGGAGGGGACAACTCGTACTTGGTTAAAGAGCTTGCCAGCTAACTCTGTAGGATCATGGGCTGAATTAAAGCACCGATTCATCCAGAATTTTAAGGATATTTGTAAGCAGCCTATGTCGATTGTGGACCTGGCCGCTTGTGTTCAAGAGGATGGTGAATCTACAACCCATTGGGTGAAGTGGGTCTCAGCTATTCTGCATTCATCGGATCGCATCAATGCGGATACCGCAGTGTTAACATTGGAGGGAAATTGCCGGTTTCTGCCGCTAAAATAGAAGTTAGGAAGGCTCAAACGTCACTGCAATGATATGTCAACGCTTATGGTCGCTTTGGTTAAATATGCCAATTCAGATAATACCAAAGACCCCAACTCAGAGGAGGACAAACCGGGGAAAGGGAAAAAGAACGGCAACACCAAGGGACAGCAGCATAACCCAGCAGGTCATGGGAATAATGGTAAGCGCAAGGCCGACAATAGTTTGGACTTTGTGGTTAACACCAATGCTCAGGATAACAGTCAGCGTCGTAAGGGCAAACAACACCAGAGGGGCGGAAGTTCGGGCCCCAATCTAGAGCGCCTATTAAATCAACCTTGTTCAAAGCATGGATCAAAGGAGAAGCCAGTGTCACATCTTTGGAAGGACTGTTATATCATGCGAGAGTTCAAGAACTCCAACATGTTTCAATACGACAATGTCCCGCCCGGCGGAGGTGGTTTTCATGGGCCGGGTTATGGAGGTGGTAGCTCCGATTCAGGATTTCAAGGCAATCAAACCGGCCATAACAATCAGGGGAACCAGGGCAACTAGGGAGGTTATAACCATCAGGAGAATCAGCAGCAGCAGCAGTCAGGTTATCAGAGCAACCCGAAGCAGTTGAACAGTAGGCAGTATCATGTTTTCACCACTAGCTTGTGCAAGCGTGATCAAAAGCTTCACAAGAGGGCTATGAACTCTATTGAACCAGCAGTGCCCCAGTATCTGTGCTGGTCTGAGCAACCCATTTTATGGAGTAGAGAGGATCACCCACCCTGGGTTGATAATCCAGGTCATCTGGCCTTAGTGGTGGCACCCCAGGTTGGGGGGTATAAGTTCACCAAGGTGCTCATGGATGGGGGAAGTAGTATCAATATTCTCTACTATGATACCTTCCGCCGTATGGGGTTGACAGATAAGAATCTTAAACCGTCGAACACCGTTTTTCATGGGGTGGTGCCCGGTAAGTCTACATATCCAGTGGGCAAGATAGCTCTAGAGGTGGCCTTTGGAGATGATCATGATTCAAGGTCAGAAACATTGACTTTTGAGGTGGTGAAAATCAAGAGTCTGTATCACGCCCTGTTTGGGCGACCGGCTTATGCCAAGTTCATGGCATGGCCGTGGTTTACCTGCAGCTTAAGATGCCAGGTCATAAGGGGACCATCACAGTACATGGGAGCAGGAAGATCGCTTTGGAATGCGAGGAAGGTGATGCGGCTTATGCTGAGTCGGTTTGTGCCACGGAAGAGCTGAAGTTTTACAAAGACAAGGTTGATCCGGCAGATATGACTTCTTTGAAAAAGCCAACTACGGAGCACGATCCGGCGTTGAAGTTTAAATCGGCCACAGATACTAAGATGGTTGTTTTTGTTCCTGGCGATTCATCCAAGCAGTTCAGCATCAGCGCTAACCTGGATCCCAAATAGGAAAGCACGCTCATCGAGTTCATCCGTGAGAACCGGGACATCTTTGCATGGAAGCCTTCTGACATGCCAGGTGTACCGGGGGAACTCGCTGAGCACACACTTAATATTGATCCTAAGTTTAAACCGGTCAGACAGTTTCTCCGCCGTTTCAACGAAGAAAGGCGCAAGGCTATTGGTGAAGAGGTAGCTCAGTTGTTGGCCGCAGGGTTTATCGTGGAGGTCTTTCACCCGGAGTGGTTGGCTAATCCGGTGCTGGTTCTCAAGAAAAATGGCACTTGACGTATGTGTGTGGACTACATAGACTTGAATAAGGCTTGCCCAGCAGATCCCTTTGCCCTCCCTCGTATTGATCAGATTATTGATTCTATGGCGGGTTGTGACCGTTTGTGTTTTTTGGTTGCTTATTCTGGTTATCATCAGATCAAAATGGCAGTTAAGGACCAGGAGAAGACAGCTTTTATAACTCCCTTTGGAGCCTTCTGCTATGTCTCCATGCCCTTTGGGCTCAAGAGTGCCCAGGCGACTTATCAACGCTGTGTTCAGAATTGTCTTCATAAGCAGATTGGCCGCAATGTTCATGCATATGTGGATGGTATTGTGATAAAGTCCAGGAAAGAGGAAACATTGATAGATGACCTGAGAGAAACCTTTGACAACCTCCGGGTTTACAAGATGATGCTCAATCTGGAAAAATGTGTCTTTGGTGTCCCGGCAGGCAAACTCTTGGGGTTTCTGGTGTCAAACAGGGGCATTGAGGCTAATCCAGAAAAAATTTCAGCAATCACGTCTTTGGCTAAACCGGCGTGTATCAATGACGTTCAACGTTTAGCCGGCCGGATTGCTGCTTTGAGCCAGTTTATCAGTCGTCTTGGGGAGAAAGCTATCCCTTTATACCATATGTTAAAGAAAACGGATGACTTTGTCTGGAGCGATGCGGCTGATAAAGCATTTGAGGATCTGAAGAGACAGTTAATTAGCTGAACCGCCTGTGCTTGCAGCTCCGATCGATAGAGAGCCTTTACTACTGTATGTGGCTGAAGGAAATATGCCCTAGAGGCAATAATAAAGTTATTAT